TTTACGGACTAAGGCTGTTTGAAAGGTTTTCTTCTATAAAATTAACCGATTCTAGACTAATTCCACTCAACATTTCCAAAACACGTATAATTTTTTGGGAATAATCTGTATAAACTATGCTTTAAACAAAAAATTATAGGATTACTTACCAAGTGTGTACCGTTCGACTACGCCGTTACTCAAAGCTTGTTTTCGTCGCGGAACAGCACACGAAACGGCGCCCGCAATTTCTGATAAATAATTTTTCACAGAAAAATAACTTGATCTTTGGAGACATCATTAATATAAATAATTTTTATGGCCGTCGAATAAGAAGTGTTTCTTTCACAAATGTATAAAATTAGTGTTGTATTAGACTTACAGTACCTAATTTACATACTGTACAGACGATAATAAACTCAACTTATTGCGTAAAATCTCCGTAGCGTGGCGCCACGCTAGACGGCGGAAATTATATATTTAATTATAATAAATTTACAATAAGTTAATATATAATTATATATACAGTACCTAATTTATATATAATTAATATATAATTATATGTACAGTACCTAATTTATATATAATACTGTACAGACGATAGCAAACTCAATTTACTCTCCTAAACTTTCCGTAGCGTGGCGCTGGACGGCGGAAAGTAGTTCGGCTGCTCATCCACTATTAGTCCAGATTCGATCAATCTTGTCGCGAAACGACGTTATAGGAGGTACGTTATACGAAAGTTGCTACAATTTTTTCGCTACGTTATAGGAATTGTCGTTATAGGAACGTACGTTATAGGGGGGTCGACTGTAGTTATCATATACTGTTAACTCCTAAAATAACTGGAATATATCACATAAACAGATTTGAGACCATTACTTTATTGCAAAATATCAAGCATAATACATCATTCAACTCCAACATCTAAAATGCATTTCAACACTTTTTTTCTATGCCCTCTTCTGTTAGATTTCTTATCAACATTTTACACAATACATCCAGACTCAATACAATATCTTCACAACAACATCTCTAAAATCATACACTTATTAATATTTATAAACTATGGTTCACTGTCTACAGTTACCCACTACTACATAAACAGTAAGAGGACACAGCAAAAAGTGCTGAAATGCATTTTAGATGTTGGACTTTAATGATGTACAATTTACTTGATAGTTTTACAATAAAATAATAGTCTCAAGTCTCTGTGTGAAACCCCTAAAATAACTTGGAATATTACTAATAGGTTAAAATCACTTTTTGTTTGTAAAATGTTATATAGCATATATGACAATTAATTACAATTAATAATTATTAATTAACTACGAAAGGCATATTGTATAAGAAATAATAAATTTTAT